ATACAAATCATTTATCAAATATAAATGACTTAACTTTTCTGATCTTGCCTTGTTCTCTGAGTGGTGTCTTGATGAACCCAAGTTCTTAATTTTAATGAATCCAATGTATCCATCTTTTCTTTCTTATGGTTGACATTTGTGTGACCTCTTTAAGAAATCTTTGCCTATTCCAAAGTCAAGGAGATATAGTCTTGTTTTCTTCTACAAGCCGGACTAGAGCTTTCACATGTAGGTCTATGATGCGTCTCACATTTGTTTCTGTACATGGCGTGCGGCTCAGCCTGGCCACATCATATGCATTAGTCTACCTGCATGTTCATCTGGGTAACTGATGTCCCCTGGCGACACCACAGCCCACCCTAGAGGTGGCATAGAGACTCAGGGAGGGGGATGAGCAGCATCAGCTATTGGCCTAATTCCCACTGTGGCACTTGGCTGTGCAAAGAGCAGAAAGTGTCCTTGAGAACCTTCACTAGCAGCCACTGCTATTGAAAGAACTTTCTTTAACGCTTAAAAGCTCAGTCCTTTCGTAGTCCTGCATAGGCCAGAAGGCTCTCCCGGAATCCTCAGTCCCTGGCCCTCAGAGTCCTGCACGTAAACTCTGTGAGTGAAGGAGTGAGCGAATGAATAAATGAACGACTGAATGAATGAACAAAACAACATAGAGAACCATGTTGCTTTCAGTGTCCCACACTTTGAGGAAGTCTCTTTAGCTAGGTTAGGGGTGGGGGTTAGGGTCCAGTCCATAGAAGTCCTCCAACAGCTCCTCGTGGGTTTTCCTGTTTCCAGTGCAGCTGCTCCTGGACCATGGGGCTGATCCCAACCAGCGAGATGGGCTGGGGAACACGCCACTGCACCTGGGTAAGTGCCTGAGAAGCCTTCAGCACACCCTTCTCTGCAGCACAGGTGGGCTCCTCTGATGGAGAGCCTGGGGTCCTGCAAACTGCCAGCAGGATCTCCTGTCATCTGGGGAGAACCTGAGCCCCGGGGGCCCCAGGGGCCCCCCAGGCTGTGTCCCCTGGCCTTCCCCTTCGGTCACCAGGGGGCCATTCCCTGGGCACAGCTGCGTTATCAGCAGGGCTCTGCTAGGGAAGGTGAGCCTGCAGCCTGTGGTTGTCCTGTGGCTGCCCCGTGGCTGCCCCACACTGTGGCTCGCAGTGAGGCAGGTCCCATCTCCCAGCCTCAGTCTCCCTAGCTGTACAGGGAGGGAGTTGGACCCGCCGCATGGCTGCCTTGGTGATGCCGTCTCTGGAAGTGTGACCCGAGAGGACACACTTGGGAGTCACAGTCCTGCTCCCTCCGACGGGCACGCAGGGCCAAGCCCTGGTGTCCTGGACTCTCAGGTCCCTGTTCTTCTTCCTCAGCGGCCTGCACCAACCATGTCCCTGTCATCACTACCCTGCTACGAGGAGGTATGTGCTCCCTTCCCCTTTGCCCTCCTCCCTTGCCCTCATGCCATCTGTGCTTACTTTGGCCTGCTCCCGCAGGGGCCCGCGTGGATGCCCTGGACCGGGCTGGCCGCACGCCCCTGCACCTGGCCAAGTCGAAGCTGAACATCCTGCAGGAAGGCCACTCCCAGTGCCTGGAGGCCGTCCGGCTGGAGGTGAAGCAGGTGAGTGCCCCTCGTGCTGAGCCAACAGCAGCAAACAAGCGCTGGGTGGGCGCTGCCTCCAGCCCGAGGGTTCCTGGGTGCTTCACTCCGACCCCGTTTGGCTTCTGCTCCACCGGCAGCGCTCTGGGGGGACCCCGTTTGGCTTCTGCTCCACCGGCAGCGCTCTGGGGGCCGCCTAGCTGGAACCCGAGCGGCTCAGCCCCGCCCCTCGTTGCAGATCATCCAGATGCTGAGGGAGTACCTGGAGCGCCTGGGGCGGCATGAGCAGCGGGAACGGCTGGACAGCCTCTGCACCCGCCTCCAGATGACGAGCACCAGAGAGCAGGTGAGCGGCAGCTGCGGGGCCCGGCCTGGCGCCTGGCAGGAGCCTGGGGCCAGTCCCTCTCTGCTGTGACACAGCTAGCCGCTCCCATAGAGAGAGGCCACGGCTGGGGGGTTGCAGCTCACTGTGGACCTCAAAGACTCTGTCCACTTCCTTTGAAGCTCCTCATGCCCCGTGGCTCTCGTCTCTGGGGCAGTCTGAGACCACCTGGAGTCAAGCATTATCGGTCGGACTGCTGTTCCCTAGTCACCACAGTGAAGCCATCATGTGCCCTGGGACAAGAGGCCATGCCTACCCTCCACATCTGTGGCCCTGGGTTGGAGATCTGGGGGCCGAGACACCTGGGCCTGTCTTGGCACCTGTGACGGGGCCTTGGTTTTGTCCCACAGGTGGATGAAGTGACCGATCTCCTGGCCAGCTTCACATCCCTCAGCTTGCAGATGCAGAACATGGAGAAGAGGTAGCAAGAGAGGCTGCCTGCCTTCCCGCTCTGCCGCTGCCCCGCCCCTGCTCCCACCGCTCTCTTGGTACCAAGAAAAAGCCCAGTGCCTGGGACTTTGGAGCTGCACTTATCTGGTGAGGCCCTTGCCCCCAGATGCCACGGGGCAGAGATGCTCTCTCACCGACTTCAGAGCCACTCCCAGCCACGGCCTGTACCATCTCTGTGGGCCGGGACCACAGCCCCCAGCTTCTTCTCTGCTCCCATAGCACTGCAGCCACGCCTCAGCTCTGGCCGCCGTGCACTGTCCTAGCCGGCCTCACATGTCCCGTGGCCTCCCCGGCACCCTCGGCAGGCCCCACACCCTTCTCTGTGTCCCTTCCTGGCCAGGGGCTTGTTGCGGCCAGCAGGGTGTGGGCTGAAGGCAGGCACCCTCGGGGGCTTCTTGGCTGGCCCTGCACCCCTCACCAGCACTTAGATTTAGACTTGGCACCTGACTTTCAAGGAGACCTCACAGTGAGTTTCTCTGGTTGGAAGGGAGGGTCGGTGAAGCCTAGACCTTAGAAATACAAGGTTAGGAAGGACCCTGCGGAACCCAAAACAGAAAAGCCCCAGCCTTTTTCACCCAGTCGTTGAAATACCTGGAGGGCGAGGTGGTCCGTTCTGCAGCCTAGTTGTAGTAGGCTGAATAGTGGCCCCCCGAGATGTCTGTGTTGTTATCCGAGGAACCTGTGAACATTACTTTATCGGGCAAAAGGGACTTTGCAGATGTAATTACATTAATGATTTTTGGACCAGGAGACTCTCCCGGCTTACCCCAGTGGGCTTCATGTAATCACAGGGATCCTTACGGGAGGAAAGCAGGAGGTCAGAGAGGAAGTAGGAGATTCAGCCGGAGGGGGTCAGAGCTGAGGAATGCAGGCACCCACAGAAGCTAGAACAGGCAAGGAAATGGATGCTCCCTGCAGAGCTCCCTGAGGGAACCAGCCCTGCTGATACTTTGACTTTAGCCCAGTGAGACTGATCTCAGAATTCTGACCACCAAAACTGTAAGAGAATAAATATGTGTTGTTTGAAGCCACTGAGTCTGTGGACATTGGTTGCAGCAGTGACGGGAAACGAACCTACTCGTGGAGGCACGGAACTCACTGTAGAGGAGGTACCCCACTCCGGCCCCCGCAGGAGCAGACGCCCCTTGTTGTGGGCAGTGGACACTCAGGGGTCCGGGCAGGGGGTTGCCACAGGAGGGGAGCGGAGGGCAGAGCACCCCCCTGACCGGGCCCTTTGCGCGGCTCTGACTACAGAGTAAAGACAGACTCCCCAGGTCACTGTCCAGTCCACCCTGGCCCTGCACCACTTGCCCTCTGAGCACACTGGAATCCTGGCTACTTTTCAGAGGGGAGCTTGTCCCCCAAAGCCCAGCCTGATCACACAGGAATTGAACCCATGGCACCCAGCTGCTCCCCAGACCCTGAAGAGAAAAGGGCCTCTGTGGGCAGGAGGCACAGGCTGGGAGCTGCCTTCAGGACCCTGTGAGAGGAGAAACCCCCCCAGGTCGGCAGGGTTGGGGGAGGGAAAGTGTGGTGCTAGCCCCAAGCCCGGGGAGCGAAAGGGGCAGAGGAAGCAGTCAGGTTTCCACGGGGCCCAAGCTGCTACTGCAGAGTGAAGTGGCTGCCTGTCTACGCGGAGTGAGGGGAGGAGCGCTGTGGGGGAGGGACCCGTGGGGGAGGGGCACCGTACGGGGGGGAGGGGTGCTGTGGG